AGCACAGCCTCCCTGTGGAGGGCTCCATGGAGGCCACATTTGAGGAAGGAAGTCAGACCCTGGCCAGGGACTGTGCAAAGCAATAGAATCTGAAACAGGGTGTGCCAGGGACTGTATACCCAGGGCACCTAACCTGGTTTTGTAGTGAGGGGTTTAGGTTTTTCTGTCTAGTTCTCTGCCTATTCTGATTTGCATGCCTTCGAGTACATTTTCTTGTAGGTAAATCTCCCCACAGGAAGGTTAGAACATCCTGTCTCTGGGAAATTTCCTAGACAGACTATCTCAACAGAACCAGGCTGATACCCTAATTATAACTAACTCAGTTAAACTGTTCCTTGCATGTCTGGCTCTACACCTTGCTCATCTGTGAGGGCAGGGAACGCGTCTCGCTCATCTCAGCGTTTTCTCATATCCTTAGAACGTGGTAGACACTGACTCTTACTTGTTGGTATAAAATGGAGTTTGGGTTAAGACACATTTTCTGCCTGTCAAGCGCTTACCAGTTTCCTCCAAAGGAAACAGAAGTTCTAGGGGCCGTTATGAGGCAGTGCAGGATAAATAGCTAAATGGAGAGTTTGAGGGTTGCCGAGGGGGAGCTGCCCCTTGAAGGCTGGAGTGGTGGAAAAGGCTTTCTGAGGAGCTTTCCTGCCCTTTCAGAGGGAAGTCATCTATGGAGTAGAAGCCAAAGAGGACGGCACTGTGGACAGAGCAGGGCTGCCGGACCTCCCAGTCAGTTAGCTGGGGGCTGGTCGTTCTTGGGGCAAACCCTTCCTGAGAGCTGACTGCACGCCAGGCATGAACCAGGTACAACGCATAGTGTAGGGTGGGCTAAGGACAGGCAGGGTGTGAACACAGGGTAACGAGGAAGGCATCCTGCACAAGAAGGAGGTTGAAAGTAGTCGCAGGTGTTAGCCAGGCTAATAGTTATATGTGGGGTAGAAATTTGCAGACAGAGGAAACAGCATGTTTAGGAGATGGAAGGAGAAATAGAGATGGTCAGAGAAAGAGACAGGCAGATGCTCAGGTTTCCAGAGAACTCTGCGGAGCTCTTTTTCAGCTGTCGTGGCCCATCCACAGACCGTGGCCTGGCAACAGCAGGAGCCTGGGCACTCCTGAGGTATTCATACCAGTAAATGAAACCTAATCCCTAAACTGTTGGCCCTTGGCTCCCTCAGCAAAGGTTGACATTTTTCTTGGCTAGGACCCAGAGTGTGCTCTGACTGAGCAGAGTTTATACATATCACAAGGTGCTGATTAGGCCAAAGTCAAGTGACAGGTGTTTGAAGATGCTGAAAGGGCAGAATCCCCATGGGCCTAGCTGGTCCCTGAACTGGACCAAGTTTGAAGAGACCTGAAGCAACACTTGCAGCTAGGACTAATGGTGCTTGCTGATGGTGTTTCCCCTTCCTTATACTTAAGTGGGCTTGGCTTCTTTTTTTTTTTTAATTAAAAAGTGATACCAGTAATTCATATTCATAATAGGAAAATTGGAGAAGAAGAGAAAAACACTGTAATCCCATTGCACAGAAAAAAAGAGCATATTAGGTTCTATTCCATTTTCTTCCCCAGTATGTATAGTTCAGGGACATTATTTTTGAAAGCTTAATGAGATAGTGGAGAGTATTAATTTTCCCTAAAAGTTTATTCTTCCCTTATTCATAATGGTATCTTGTATTGGTTTCAACTGTTACATGGTACTTGGGCTTCCCTGGTGGCATAGGCAGTAAAGAATTTGCCTGCTTTGCATGGTACTTAACAGTTTATAAAATATTTTCATCCCCTCTCACAGACGAGTCTTAAAATTGTGTGAGAAAGGTGGCATTACCCCTGTTTTACAGTTGAAGAAACTGTATGAGGCTCAGAAATGAAGCTTAGAAAAGTTAAGTGATTTGTCCAAATTCAAGCAGCTTATAAGTAAGTTTCAGGTTCAGGTTTTCTGATTCTTAAATATAAAGCGTTTTTCACTGACCCAAAACTGCCACACCTGCAAAAACAACAGTAGCTTGAGAAACACATCTACACACCATTGCCTCTTTTTCACTAGTAACTTGTCATCATTCATTAGAACTCTAAAGAAAATGAAATTTACCCAGACTCCTTAAGTATTAGTCAGAGTTACCCAGCATTTTGATATATCCAAGGTGATTAGTGAGATTAATGAGAATTTTCAAAAGATACTGGAGATTGTATAAATGGAAGATAATATTTATGTTATACAAGGCAGCTGTTTTGTTTAAAAATATTAGGTGTGTGATTTAGTTATCTCCAAGTAACTTGGTTAAAGTTGGGTAAGATTTTTAGATTTTATTTTCATGTCTACATAAAGGAAAAAGTTAATTCTTAGAACAGGAAAAGCACAGAGGAATACTGCCCACTATACTTTCAGTCTAGTCTCCCCCTCCCCCAAAAATAGAAAAAAGAAAACAAAAAGGAAGGAAGGACAGAATAAAGAAAAACGAACCTAGGGGCTCACAGACAAATAATTCCAAGCTATACACTTCTGTCATGAATTCTCATATACAGAGGTAGCTGCCAGGATCTTACTGCTGAGGGTAAACTGTTGCCAAAGCATATCATCATCTGCAAAAGCTGTAGAAGCCAGAGAGATAACTTTCTGTTGCTTGAAAGAGCAGTAAAGGCAAATAAATAAAAGTCCATAGCTAACAAAATTAGGTAAACGTTTGTAACTTTCTTGTATAACGTGCTAAAAGTATTACTTAATATCTCTAGTTTTGCCAGCATAGAGGTTTTGAGAACTACTGTCTCTAAAAGTGTTGTCTTAGAAAGACTCTTTGGAGGGGAAAAAATGTGTATTTTTATGAACCAAAAAAGATAAAGAGAAGATGTTGCAGTAGGTTAATTAATTGATTAATTCATTCATGTGCTCCTTCACAATCTGTTATTTAATATGTTCCATGTAAGGGTAAATAAGAGATGCCTCCAAGAAATACATGGTTGAGGTGTGAAATGCTCATAAATGAATTACTGAGGCTTGAGCAGGAAGCATGGTGCAGGACCACATGTTTAAGCAATTGCTATATAAGAAGAGCACGTAGCTCATAACTGCCTAGAGAAGAGGGGAGCTAGGTTGGAGAAGATATTTGAGCTGGGTCTAAAAGGATGATGAGAGGAAGGAAACAAACTTACCTCATGCTTCATTGCCAGCATTGTGCTACTCTCACAATTCTGAGGATATAAGACCCAGTGAGAAGTCAAGAAGGACAGAGAGTCGCATGAAGAATTCAAGGCATGATCATATGCAAAACATTATTAGAGGGATTGTATTGATTCCTTTTCAGAAATCAGAAAGTGGAGCTCAATATCATTTGCTTTTCTTTTTTTTTTTTTTTTTTTAGAATAAGGACGTTAAAGGCAAAATATGAGAGTTCTGTTCCAGATCAGGTTCTTGGAGAAGGGGCTTCATGCATAAGTGTGTGGGTGTACGTGCTCAGTTGCTCAGTCATGTCAGATTCTTATGACCCCATGACTGTAGCCCACCAGGCTCCTTTGTCCATAGGATTCTCCAGGCAAGAATACTGGAGCAGGTTGCCATTTCCTCCTCCAGGGGATCTTTTTGACCCAGGAATTGAACCCACATCTTTTGTGTTTCCTGCATTGGCAGGTGGATTCTTTACCGCTGTGCCACCTGGCAAGGCCCCTCCATGCATATAAGTACATCCAAATGTGCTACTTTGTTATTTTCGGTCAAGATTTTAGCAAGGACCTCAGCAAGAGACAGATTTTCTATGGTTTGTTTAACTAAACCCTTTTTAGTTAAAGAAAGATGTCCTAGAACTGGAGTTCCTGGATCCACAAGCAGATCCATTTTTAAGGCTTTCATATTTTTTGCCAAATTGCTCTCTAGAAGGACTGTAACCCTCCCAGAAACAGCATGTTGGAATCCCATTTTCCTTATACCTTCCCTAATATTAGGTATTCTCATTTTTAAATCTGTGGCCATTTGTCAAACAAGTAGCAGTTTCTTATTGTGGCTTTAACTTAAATTTGTCTTCTTAAAAATAATATTATATTATTATATATATATAAGTATTATATTAATCGGTACCTGTATTCATTTTTTGATGAATTGCCTATTTATATTCTTGTGGCCTATTTTTCTGCTCAGGCTTTGCTTTTTCCTTATTAATGTATAAGAGCTTTTTCTATATTGTTTTAAACATCTACTTTATTTGCAAATGTTTTACATTTTTTTTTAGTTTGTCAATGGCCTTTTAATTTTATCCATAGTAGTTTTGCTGATATAAATGCCAATTTTTAAGTAGACAAATAGACTTTTTCCTTTATGAATTTTGAATTTATGTGTTTGCCATCTCTAAGATTAAAAACAATTGTATGTGTGTATGTATAGGATATATATATATATCCTAGTATTTAAAGGTTTTCAGTTTTTATATTTGAATGTATAATTCATCTGGAATTCTTTTTGGCATGGTGTTTAATGTGTAATTCATCTGGAATTCTTTTGGGCATGGTATTTTATAGGGAAAAAACTGATTTTTTCCCAACTGTTTAACTAGTTATACAAATACTACTTAAAAAGTAATCCATTCTTTCTTACAGCATTGAAGTGACACCTTTATCATTTATTCCGGTCTCATATGTGTTTGGGTCTCTTTCCAGGTGCTCTCTTTTGTTGCATGAATAATAATTAATTATTTTAATTATTAAAAATTCACAATGGTCATGTTCTTTTGTTTTTTCCCTCTCAAATTCATACTTCATAATTGATATATCACATTCTACCAAGTTATTCCACTGACATTTTTATTGGCATTTGCCTTAAACTTCTAAATTACTTAGGAAAGCATCAACTTTTTTTCAGTAGTATGTGGCTTTATTCAATAAGTGGTTCCTTCCGTGTATTCAGGTTTCTCAGTAAAATTTTATGACTTTTGGTTGGATCATGTTTACCACTGAGTTTATTCTCAAGTATTTTAGAGAAGTCACGCTTCTCACAGCTGCTTGCTGTCCCCCACAAGGTTCTGACCACATCCGTGAGAAAGACGGTCTCTGGGCTGTCCTTGCTTGGCTCTCCATCCTAGCCACCCGCAAACAGAGTGTGGAGGACATTCTTAAAGATCACTGGCAAAAGTATGGGCGGAATTTCTTCACCAGGTAAGCCACAGCCTGGCCAGGAACAGAGGTAGTGCGGGGAAGTGGGCAGAGAGAAATCTCATGCATACAAATTCTTTCCTGTCTTAAGTGTTAATAAAACCTCAGTTCATTCACTTCCATCTATTGGGGATCTTTAAGTCTATTGGGGATTTTTAAAACAATTCAGTTGGGGTTGAGATGAAGTCAGCTTTTATGTTAGCTACAAAGAACAAGGCTTAAAATTTTTAGTTAACTTATTCAAAAGAATGAATGTTTTGTCAGCCTTTTAAATGTACCTATCAGATGGGCATGATAATAGCATTGGATTTGGATTCAGAAAAATGGATTAGAATTTTATTTCTGCCCCCTAGTAGATTGGGAAGTCATTTAACCTCTTTATGTACTCAGTTTTCTCATTTGTAGAAATGGAAATAGCAGTCCAGCTATCAAATGGATTAAGTGAAATATGAGTCTGAAAGTGTTTTATAAACTCTGAGACACTGAAAATATGGAAACTTTTTCTGAAATTATGGAAACAATTATGCTTAGTCTAAATCAACTTTTCTGACTCATTAAAATAGGTCTCCAAAGGCTGTGTAGTTGTCAATGCTTCATTCATTGATTCAATAAATACTGACTGTGTACCTACTTTCTGCCAGGCACTGGGGCTTCTCAATGGACAAAATACTTAGAATAGTTAGTAAGTCTTCTTTATGATACATATTTCTATTTTTAAGATACATTAACATTTTTTCCAGTGTGCTTTTCACTAATTTCAATTTGCCTTTCCCCTAGTAAGTGTAAAAATAACAGATCTTTTTCCCCTGGATCTCACTATTCTAATTATGGAAAAGAAATATGAGAGCAAGGATATTAGATAAATTACTTATCTGTAAGAAATGTAGAGATATAATTTCTCTGAACTTCAGTTGCCATCTCTACAAAAATAGGTGAGTTGAGACCAGAGAATTTAAAAACTAGATCACAGATTCAGTGGTCCATGATCTTTGGATAGTCGAGAAAGAATTCACCCTTAAGCAACTTGGTTTCCTTAATCAGAAAACTTTTTCCAACTTTGGACAAGTTCATTGCTGTCTTCCTCCCTCAAGTTATTCTTTGGTGGAAGGTGTAAGTAATATCTGCCACACAGTAGCCCTTGCAGATACAGCAAGAATCTCTACTTTCTAAGAATCAGAAAAATCTGGTAATTCAGAACAGCAGTCATGAACTCTCTAGAGCCCAGAGGATCACAAAGGCAGGATCATGTCTGTTTTTGTGCTCCATGGTATCACCAAACACCTAATTCATAGTGACATTGTATAAATATGCTTTGAATAGATGAATGAGTTAACAAGTGAACATTAGAGAGAATGGACTAAGAATAGAACAGTTTGTTCAAAGAGAGGGTCACTCTTGTATCAGTTAGAAGCCTCCATCTAAAAATTATCAACATATTTTTATTAATCTTAAATAACTGCTAACCAAGTATTACCAAAAAAGTCCTTAGAACCTGAATCTGTGATTAGTTAAGATTCCATTCTACCCTCCATTTATTTAACAAAAGTGCTCTATGCATGCCTTGTTTCACATCAACCTCAAAACAGTTATTGATCAGGCAACTGAGATTCTGAGAAATGAGGCAACTTGCCCATAGTTGCACAGTTAGTAACCAATGAAGGCTGAATTCATAGCTCCTTCTGTCTGATTCCAGAGCCCAGCTTCTTTCCATTATACCCCTCTGTGCCTAGGATTTATAGAACATTTCCCTCAAACACCCAAAGGTCACAGATGTGAAGCACAAACACCTGGTTGTAATTTCGTGCTGTTTATCATTTTAACTGGGGGAAAGAGCTGACTTCAGGATTAAGGGGACTGCTATCCTTGATTCATAGAATCCTGGAGCCAGAATAGCTGGCTTTAATTCCCTGGTATTTCTCATGTCTCAGAGGTGTCATCTTGCACATATATATTTGTTTCACTACTGCAAATAAATATAGACTCTGCTATCTTGAGCCTCTAAAAAATAACTCTCTCAAGAGGGTGTGTGCCACCAGGACAAGAAAAGCCACCTGTAAGAATCTTTAACCTCACAAGAAAGAAGTCAAGAACAATTCTTGGAGGAAAAATAACAGTCATAGCCTTTCATTTGTGATATGCTTTTATTTTTCTCTTGGCCCATTTGCATCCACACCAGGCTGCTCTGTCAGGGTGGACGCTGTGGATCAGAATCCACTCTCACTGAGAGGAGGGAGGCGTTCCAGGTGTAAAGAGTTAGGGCTTAAAAAAAGAATGAGTTAGGGCTTGGCTCCTTCATTTGGCCAGTGAAAACTTGGCCTTACTCGGGGAAGCTCCTGTGGAGACTGGAACTCTCCTTAGCCAGCATCTCCGCAGCCTCAGGCAGGTCCCAGACTGGGAGCCTTCCAGCACGGCTCCCAAAGAAGCTCCAGCTGTTGCCTTCATTCAGCCTTCTTTAGAGATAACACTGCTTTTGTTTCTGTGGCCTCCGGAGGTGGTGATTAAATGTTAGATTGCATCTCTCAAAAGCCTTTGAAGCTGCTAGGAGCTTTATTCTGTAGAAAAGCCCAAATGAGAGTTTTCTGCTCATTCAGAAGCCCCTGACCCTTTCCTGAAACCCTCCAAACGCTTCCTTTCATCCCTGGCCTGCTCCATCCCCAGAGAATTACACACGCATATTTTTGCCAGCTTCTTCTGAAGTTAGATGTTTGGGGGGAGGGCCAAACAAATGATGCAAAAAGTGCTGATATCCGTTGGTGCGATTTGAAGTCAGCCTCAACTTTGTGATTTCTCCCAGGTATGATTATGAGGAGGTGGAAGCCGAGGGCGCAAACAAAATGATGAAGGAGTTGGAGGCCCTGATTTCTGATCGCTCCTTCGTGGGGAAACAGTTTCCAGTGAGTGATAAAGTTTACACTGTGGAGAAAATTGATAACTTTGAGTACAGCGATCCGGTGGATGGAAGCATTTCAAGAAATCAGGTAGGAACAGATGTATGTGTACGTGGGAGAGAGTCCTTGGAGCGTGGTCTCTGAAATCTCAAGAGAAAAAAGAAAAAGGTTTCTTGGTCATTTGTCTTTTGCTGCCCTGTTTTCTCAAGTGACTTTCTGTCAAGTCACATATGATTTGCACAGGTACTTGTAGGTAAAATGGTTTTTTCCCTGATGCTATGCTCACCGCTATGCCCTTATTCTGGGATGCTTAGTCTCGACTCCAGAAGGACTTTTACATTCTCCAGAATTCAATGTAAGAGGTCACTTTGATGTGTGCACAGAAAAGAGCCCTAGAATATTAAAAAGATGGAGAGCTGCTGCCTTCGATCTCAACCTCCTTCCTCTCTCTCAAGAGACTGTAGCAGAATGCAAGCATGGCGTGAGAATGATCTCTTTATAGATGTTTCTTGTGATCTATCCTAATTTCTAACAAGAAGAAAAAAAAAACAGACTAACCATTTGTAGACTTAGAAACATTCAGTGTTATCACCTGTAGCACATGACTCGAAGCTGACCCTAACATAGCAGTGTGCATCACAGTGGAGACCCTGGACCACATCTAGATGGAGACAGAGTTGTTAGGGCTTCCTTCACTGGGTGCTGGGCACCCAGGGTGCGGGCTTGTCAGCCCTTCTCCAGGCTCCTCACAAACACCCGGGCCCAGGCTCCTCTCTCCTCTGGTTCTGTTGCTGTTGTCACAGAATGGACTCAGAATTTAGAGACAGAGGGACTTCCCTGGTGGTCCAGTGGTTAAGACTTCACCTTCCAATGCAAGGGATGCGGATTCAATAAGATCCCACATGCCTCATGGCCAAAAAACATAAAACAGGAATAACATTGAAACAAATTCAATAAAGACTTTAAAAATGGCCCACATTAAAAAAATATTTTTAAAAAAAGATAGGAAAAAAAAAAGATAGAAACAGAGATGACTAAGGGGGAGATAAGACTCTGCTATAGCTTTCCAATTAGCTCTTTTTTCTGATCCAGATTTTTGGCCTGGTCCTTCTCAAGGCATCCAGCACACTTTGAAAGAATTGGACTGCTGGATTTATTTGAAGTCTCTCTTTGGAGAGCAGGTAGTGGATGGGTGGATAGAGCCTGGCCACTGTGACCCTCGGTGCCTGGAGTATCCCTTTCTCAAAATGTTGGCCCCGTGGCTTTTTTCCCCTATGCCTTTTCACCATCTGGGAGAACTTTAGGTCCAATCTGGATGATTGTAAATGATGTCTGAGCTCATTAGAAAAAGAGAGACCTGAGGTGGGAGTGGGTGTAAGAAAGGGGAGGGTGGGGCCCAGGCCATGGCAGAGCAGAGCAGAAGTTTTTGTGGTGAAGCCTTCAAAGAGAGAACAGACCTTTAGGAGAAGTAACCCTGAACTCTGCACTGCATCCCACATCTGCAGTGTGCGTGGGAGGGCCATCGGCGTGGGCACAGTCCCTGCTCTCTGCACCCTAAGGAAGTCAGCAGTTCCATGGTCTATAAGCAGAAAAACCAGGGAGGAGGGAAGATCTTCTGAAGTAGATACAGCATCTACAGTCAAGTGGAAAGAACGTAGAAGCTTCAGGTTGAGGCTGTGGGGAAGGAGACCAACTCTGGTATATGCCTAGAAAGCAAGAAATGGTAATTGGATATTAACTGTGTCCTCCCCACATTGACTAACTGGGAAGGTCCTCTGGGGTTTTCACTGCTGAGTGGCACGATGAAACACTGGATGGGACTGGGTGACAAATAGTATATGAGAGGCAGTATCTTTCCTTTTGGTTGGTCATCAGCTTCATACAAACTTCTTTCTGTGGAAGAATTGACATCCTTATCGAGACTGAAGGGTCTTCAAGTAACTGTCTCACCCAGCCTTCTTACCTCAAGAGTCCCCATCCTTTTCCCCCTGAATCAAGATTATTGAGGACAAGAGATGTGGCCAGAGAGGGAAGAGAGAGAGCTGGAGAGAGAGAGAGACTGGGCTTGGCATTGCACCCACCTGGACCCTGCTTTGAATCACCAGGCATTGGTGGAGACTTGACCACTGGATCCTGCTCAATAGGTTGGAATAGCTCGCCTCTACCATTTGGGGCATCTGGCCCCCTGACCTCTTTCTGAGGCTCTTTATCAGGATTTTGCAAAGAGCCCATCCTCTGGTCCACTTGAAACTTCATCTGCTCTGGTTTCAGCCCATTCTGATCGTGTTTCCCTCCTGATCTGAACATTGACTCTCTGTATCTAGCAGCTTGTTTGTTTTTGTTTTTTTCTTTTTATAAATTGATTTATTTTTTAGTTGGAGGATAATTGCTTTACAATGTTGTGTTGGTTTCTGCCATACATTAACACGAATCATCCATAGGTATACATGTGTCCACTCCCTCTTAAACCTCCCTCTCACCTCCGACTACATCCCACCCCTTTAGTTCATGACAGAGCACCAGGTTTGAACTCCCTGCATCATACAGCAAATTCCCACTAGCTATCTAATTTTACATATGATAATGTACATGTTTCCATGCTACTCTCTCAAGTCATCCCACCCTCTCCATCTACCACAGCTTATTTATTTATTTACTTATTTATTAAGCTTCAAACTGGAATGGTTAGCCCATAAATCACAGGGAAGTGGGATGAGAAGGCCGGTGTTGTGTCAGCCAGCCTCCCCAGGATCTGGTCTCCCACCTGACCCTGGAGATGCTTCTCCTCCATAAGCCAGCCCCCATTGGCTGGATGCAGTGACAGGCTGACCAAGGGCAGGCTCCTGGGGCTCAACTGAGGCTGTTTCTCAAAATCCTACGATTGATCAAGTGTGGATGAAGTTAGATCTTCAAATGGACCCCTCAAAATTTTCCAGCCTTCATTCTCCCTTCTAGGGGTGAGAAAAAACAAACGCTGTTATCTTTCCCAGGGCTTGCGGCTCATTTTTGCAGACGGTTCTCGCATCATCTTTCGACTGAGCGGCACTGGGAGTGCAGGAGCCACCATCCGACTGTACATCGACAGCTATGAGAAGGATCTCGCCAAGATCTACCAGGACCCCCAGGTAATGCCCGAACCCTGAGCCCTGGCTGGCTCTTTCTGTTGGAGGGAGGGGTAGTGGTTCCATTTTGCCTGCGTCATCACAGCTCATCTCTCAAATGATCCAACAGGAGGGCTCTCTTTCCTTCATGCATCCTTCAGTACATCAGAAAACAAGAATAGCTAACAACTATCTGAGCATTTTATATTTGTCAAGCTCTGTTCTAAAGCCATTATCCAAATTGGTATACTCATTTCACTCTCAAATCTCTTATTCTTATCTATTAATATCCCTACTACAGATAAGGCAACAGAGGCTCAGAAAGGTTAAGCAATAGTTAATAGGTTCACATGCCTGGTAAGTGGCAGATTCAAGCGAACTAATGTTTGAATCAGCCCCAGTCTGGTGCTCTGATCTGTCAGTGATTATTTGTCACTTTGCTAGGTCTCGTCACCTTCCCTGAAAGAACACACATTGATTCCAGATTTGGTCCAGGGTACAGGGTGGGGAGGGCTGGGGTAGGGGGTAGGGAAGGCTGGAGTAGGGGTTAGGGAGGGAGAGGCTGTTTCATGACCCAGAAAGAAAGGTCTTTATGGGAGAGTGTTTGGACTTGCAACTTGTATTTTGGTTCCCAGCCCCACCCAGAGTGTGTCCAGGAGTATGTCAGAGTGAGGAGGGACCCTGGGAGCCAGGGTTGATGACTTGGAGGACAGTCATCATCCTTGTTCCTTGTCTTAGGAGCTGCTCCCCAACCAGAGTTCCAGAGCCAAAACCAGTTTAGGAAGTGTGGAGGTGGGCTAGCCCCTTCTTGCAGCTCATAACACACACTGTGCCTTAAAGCTCTGAGGGGACTTGCAGTACAGATGCCCATTTAAATAGTGTTCGCCACGCCTGTTTTCCCACAAAGCTTTTTCCTTCTACTACCTAATTAGAATCCTGTGAAACTCATTTGAAAACCCCTGGCACAGTGCTTTTGAGCACCGATTTTGGAATTAGAGAGATCTTGTTTTAAATTCAGTTCCTGCCCTTAATACCTGTGTGTCCTTTTTAATGTTCTGAGCTTTGGTTTCTTTGTCTGTAAAATGGCAGAATGCTACTTACCTCAGTGTCATAGGGATTTAAGGAGACAATGAATGTAAAGTTCAGAATATTGTGGCTGACATATGGGATTAGCTTTTGAGAAAAAGTGGCTCTTACAGTTGTTTTTACTACAAAAAGAGAGAAATGAAAGGATACTTCCCTTTCTCAGATTTTCCAGTGGCCAGGCACCAGTTTCAGTTATTGCCACATCCCTGTGGTGTTACGACATCCCTAAAACTAAAATCAAAGACAATGGTTTCTACCTTGTAGACCCACAGAATAATAGAGCAAGAGCAAGAAAGGAAGTTGTGCTTCTCTGTCTTAATACTTGACACATGGTAGATACAAGGAATGAATGAAAGATGTCTCATCTAAACTGTAGTCCTTAGGAGATGGGAGAGCACTGAAGAATGTAGAGTGCCCACATGTCCAGAGGTACCTTCTTTCCAAGTGGGGACTTGCCTTCCCCTACTCTGGAGCTGCTGGTACTCAGCCTCAGCGCTTCACTGGGGCTGTTGGAGCCCCCAGGGGAGTGGCAAGTGGTATGTGAGCCTGTGCAGTGGTTCTCCAGCTTTCTTCTAGGTATAATGAGTTGGTGGAGATTTAGGTGAGGGAAAGCAACAGTGGGCAATAGAACATGAACTACCCTTGGCTCTGCCCTTGAATCACCAGGTCAACTCACTTCACTTCTTTGGGTATCGGTTTCCTCATCTATAAAATGGGCAGTTCAACTAGATACATAGTTTTCTTTTCTCATATTAAAAATATTTATTTACCTAAGCAACAGCAGGATTCATTTTTTTCCTTAAGTGAGAAGTTGGAGAAGGAAATGGCAGCCCACTCCAGTATTCTTGCCTGGAGAATTCCGTGGACAGAGAAGCCTGGTGGGCTGCAGTCCTCAGGGTCTCAAAGAGTCGGACACGACCGACTTTCACTTTTTTTTTTTTCAAGTGAGAAGTAGGTGGCGAGGGGCAGTGGGGGGGGCGGTGATGTTGTTGTGTTTTGAAAAGGTATTTTTGGTTAGAGTGTGGGAAACAAATTGGAGGGTGCAGAAGCTGATGTGGAAGTACCGTTGTTCCAGGTAAGAGGGAGGACTTGGTTTAGCGAGAGCTATGGCACTGGGATTGGGAGAACTGGGTGATATAGAAGATTAGTCACTTAGGATGCTGGGGTTTAACCATGGGAATATGAGAGAAGGAGGTGTCAAGAGCAACTCTTGATTGTTTATTCGCTATATATGATAGACTGTGGTGTCATATTGTTGACATAGGGAATACTGGAACTAGATTTCTTCTGTGGGGAAAGAACCATGTCTTTGTTTTTAGACTTAGAGAGTTTGAGGAGCTTTGGGGAGATCAGAGTACACAGATGAGGCTTTGGAGCTCAGAGGCCAAGTCAGGGCTGGAGCTCTGGATCTGTCTCTGGAGAAAGTGGTGGCAAAGACTGTTCTCCTTCTGTCTCCCTCAGGTCATGTTGGCTCCCCTTATTTCCATTGCCCTGAAGGTGTCCCAGCTCCAGGAAAAGACGGGACGCACCGCCCCCACTGTTATCACCTAAGAAGACAGGCCAGATGTGGTACGTCCCTCCACCCCAGGCCCTCCGAGTCATCTGATTGAAGAGCACAGACAGAAACAAAATGTATTCACCCAGGCTTTTTAGGATTTGGTTTTTCCACTAACCAGCTGTTGACAAATGGTACTATTCCGAGGCTCTGCCAACTGACATGCCTGCAGGAGCCATGTGGGAAAGAGAAGCCCGGGGGCTTATGCTACTGTTGGTTCCTTTTCGTGTCCTTGTGCACCGCCTCTGTGTGGGTGTTTGTCTCCTTAGCATCGGGTCCTGTTTACACTGCACTGGAAGATGGAGGCTGAGCATCAGTGTACGAGGCCAATGTCCATCTTTAGGATCTGCCCCATGATATGACAGTGAGAACTCCTTTCTCCTTGGTGAGCCTTTCCCTCATTTAATGTTTACATGTCATCTAGCAAAACGCAGTTTCTGGTGCCTTCTCTCCAATCACTTCTTTCTTCAGAGGGAGACGTACTTGTCTACAACTTTCTCTCATTTTGCAGCATAGTCCCATTCACACAAGTATTTTGGGATATTAAAGCAAAATAAGGTACCATGACTTGGTGTCTTTTTTTCTTACAAAATGCTCTTTGGATTTCAGAAAGAAACCAGATTTTTCTTTTTTTTTTACGAGGGGGAGGGTGGTATTGTATTTTGTTTGGATGTCCTAGCTAGGGAAAAGAAAAACAAGTTCTCTGCACTAGGTTTAAAATTAGACTCAAGAACTGTAATTTCAAATCTTAGCAGGGTCAACCAAACCCTGAATCCTTCCGCGGTGGATAAATTAAGCTCGACATGGTTAACTTGGAACAAGGGGAAGGAAGAGAGTGTTCAGGAGATCTTAAATAGCAAAGACTGCCTTGTGCCCTGGGTACCTAGATGCCATGCTGCCTGTTGAGGGGACAGGCAGAACTCTCGGAATCTGAGAGCCGGATCACCAGCATTTGGCTGGAAATCTTGAGCTCACTGGCATCTTATTCACCTTAGAACATTTACATTCAACCCCTGAGTGTAACTTAGTAGTTAAAAGCATAGTTTTGGGAGCCAGCAGACCTGAGTTTGAATCTCACTTGAAACCTTGAATAACCTTTGAATATCATTCTCCTTATCTTTAAATTGGGCTTGAAACATAGTTCTAACTTTGCAGAGTCACTGAGAACATAAAGCGAGTGGATCTGTGAAAAGCTGGGGCAGGGTATCTCATTCACAGTAGGTTGTCCAACAAGTGGGAACTAGGATGGTGCCTACAATATTCTTCCTAGATTTTAAAGTATAGGAAAAACATAAACCATAATCGAAATATTTGGAATGCATTTTGTGGTTGGAAGGAACTTCTCACAAAGTCACCTTGCTGTATGGACTGATCCAGAGAGGCAGCCCAGCTGTGCCCCCCTCCCCCACCGAGGGTGGACTCCCCATCCCAGGCAGCAGGGCCTTTACCTGGGGTGAGAGTTCCCGTGTTACCATCTAACAAGGGTGTCCCGCCCAGCAAACAGAACTGAGCTTTGATAATGATGAGATGGAGATGAGTACTTATTGAACATGAATTAATCCTACTCCAGGCACTGTGCTGAGTGCTTTCCATATACTCTGTAAGTGCTGCCAATAACTCTACGATGTAAGTACTTTGAATTTTCCCACTTTACAGGTGAGGTTCAGCTGTTGTCCGAGCTCACACCACTGGAGAAGCATGGCATGTTCCCAGGCAGGGCAGCCTCTGGTACTGACCGGCTACTTCTGAACTACTTCTAACAGGTGGAAGAAAGGCATGCAAATGCCCCCATATTTTACTTATTAAAAGGTTTCACTGCATGCCTTGAGTGCCAGAGACTCTGTTAGGTTTGGCATTGTTGCCTAGCACCCCCGCCCCGCCTGGGATCTCGATACATGGGTATATCGGTCAGCCAGGAAACACACGCTGCCCCATTGAGTGTGAGATGCCTTGGGAAGGAAAGGATATGTGACACATAGTTACTGCCCTCCAGCTGCCTTGGAGACTGGTTGGAGGAATGAAGTCCCACACAGAGAGAAGGCTGTGTAGGATAAGTGCCTTAGGGATTGTGTAGGCAACACAAGCTGTTAGAACCAAAGTTTCCAAGTGCCGGTTTGGAACCAAAGTTTCCAAGTGCCTAGACAGTGGGCTAGATGCTTTCTAGTAACCTTCCAAGGGAGACAAGCTTGTGCCCCCTTTAGAGCTGAGGCAACTGTAGCTCAACAGAAGCTTAAGTAACCTGCCCCAGGTTTTCAGATACCATGTGGCAGAAGTGGAATATTGACCCCAAGTCCTACTTGCTTTCCATGAGCCTTTTCTGCCTCCCCATCTGTTGAATCAGCTGCAGACAGTTCCAGGCCTGTGGCCCCTGGAACAGTTTCAAGAATTTCCTCCTCATCCTTGATCATAATTTAGCTGCTTTCCCTAATCCACTTGGCTGCAGCTTTGGGAGCTGATGGCTCAAGGGGAAAAGAGGGAGGTGGCCAGGGCCAAGAGGCAGTGGGGGTGGGCAGGGATATGGGCCACCCTTCCTCCATCTGTGGCTTCCAGAGAGACACCCCAACACATGTGCCCCCAGGAATGCCGAGAGACGAGCCCTGAGAGACTGGCCAGCAGCGCACAGCCAAGCTTCCCCCCCCCGCCCTGGACTGATGTGGTCTGTGAGTCAGCCCTGTTTTCTCTGGGGCATGGTGAGGATTGCAGTGAGAAAACTGGGTTTGAACTGTCTGGGGCCCAACTCTGAAATTTCCCTTTTCCCCTCCTTTTTGACATTTAGCTCTCATCTCAGAAAAGCAGATTCCTGTTCAGAGAGCTTCCTCAGGTCCGGGAAATGGCCAGGCTTTCAGCGGGTGGGGCCTGCCTCCTGGAGAATGGCAGCAAAGACCGAGTTCATAGCAGTGCCGGCAAGGCCAGCTCTGGGGCCTGGGTCTCTCTGCCTCCTCGTTCCTAGAGTTCATCCATGCTGCAGCTGCTGTTATTTCCTGTTGACTTATCAGACAGAAATTGGCCTACTATATAAGAATCTTCCAGAAAACATCATGTATGAGAGACACAGCCCTCGTGTTCTTGTGTTCTGAACCCGCAGCAAGAGGAGATGGATGTGAGAGACAGCAGCTGTCGCGCAGAGTCGTTGTATCCTGCCTGAGTTACCACAAGGACCCCTCATGGCCTCTTGCCTTCATCTTGGCCCTTCTCAGCCAGTATTTTCATCACCACTAAGTGCTTTTCAAATGCTGAAGTCCCAGTGTTTTTGAGTGGCCTACAAGACCCTGCAAGCCTGCCTGTCACTTACCCCCCACCCTTCTTTTGACTTCTTCCTTGTGTTGGATGCTTCAGGAATGAAACCACCTGCTGTTCTCTGGAAATGCTGTGCTGTCTTGCCTCCAGGCCTTCAGACCTGCTCTTCTCTGCCTGCATCACCTTCCTCCACCACCCTCCCCTCCCCCATACCCCCCACCTCCTACTCCTTCCTCAGGCTTCAGTTTAAATACTATCTTCTTCAAGAAGTTTTTCCTGGGCTTGGGAGCTTTTCCTAGTGTTCCTGCAGCAGCACCCTCTTCATGGCACTTATCACACCCTATGCTAATAGCCTTCCATTTCTCCTACTGCCCTGGAAACCCTGGAAGGCAGGGACTGCCTTTTTCACCACTGTTTGGCCCAAATGATAGAGAATCTGCCTGCACTGCGGGAGACCCATGTTCGATCCCCGGTCAGGAAGATCCCCCGTAGATGGGAATGGCTACCCACAACAGTATTCTTGTCTCGAGGATCCCATGGACAGAGGAGCCTGGCAGGCTACAAAGTCGGTGAGTTGACCAACTTTGACAGTTAGTGATTGGCTCACCAAAAACTCATAAAGCTTTAGAGGCTGCAGGTGAGAAGTACCCAGGACAGAGTGTCAACATGGACCCTGGTAGGGGATGGGAAATATATCATGGTCACCTTGAATAAAACTAGATTTACATGTTTTGGAGGAGGAAATGGCAACTCACTCCAGTATTCCTGCCTGGAAAATCCAAAGAACAGAGGAGCCTGCCAGGCTACAGTCACGGGGTCACAAAGAGTTGGACATGACTGAAGTGACAGCACGCACACAGATTTACATGTTAAAAGTATTTTATCTCCATTGCTACAAAAGTTAGTTGTGGGGACTTAGCTGGTGGCCCAGTGGGTAAGACGCCATGCTCCCAATGCAGGGACCTGGGTTCAATCCCTGATCAGGGAGCTAGATTTCACCTGCAGCAATGAAGACCTGGTGCAGCCAAATAAATATTTTTTTTTAAGTTAACTGCAGGTGTAACTGAAGGAGGGGTCTATTAATACCAATTTAGCCTGAAAATAGAAAGGAGTTATTTTTCTTCAAGGAGTAGACACAACAAAGGCAGGCACAAGACCCAACTCCCCCAATCTCCCAGCAAGTTCTTGGAAGGGAAACCATGATGGGAACAGGCAGGCGGCTGGCCCTGCGCCTCACACTGTAGCGCACGCAGCGTGTGCTTCGGGAAACTGAGTGGCTCTCCTCCATTCCTGTTATGAGACGCAAGAAGCAGTCTCACAAACTTGGCGTGGCATTATCCAAAAGAAGGGAGGTCACTGCCAGCAAGAGTATGTCTCGTGTCTGTCTGCTGGTCCTGTGGGAAGTTTTGAGGGCTTTGGCTCTGTTTTTACCAAATGTGAAAACTGTACCTAGATACACTAAGTTGGATTTGTGGGTGAAGGGTAATAAGTATTTTCCCCAAAGCATGTCTTTCATGATTCAGAGCACCACTCTCCCGTTGACAGAAAGGCTGGTCAAGAGTACCAGTCATTTGCTTTTCATGACAGCATTGTTTCATAAACACTCTGTCTCATAGAAGCTCGGTCTCCGTTGGTTTTGTGACTTCATTTCTGTACTTTAATAGAGAGCTATTATTATTCCAGATAAAGAAATGAAAACTTTGAGAGTTCTCCTGTCCTGTGCAGAGACTCAGAACCACAGTGAAGGAGAAAGCTGGTC